AGGGGGCGGGGGCGGCGGCCGTGGCGGCTGCTGCCCCGCGGGTGGCGGCGGGGTCCACCGGGCCCCGGACTCTCTGGCTCGTCAGGGCCCCGCGCGCTGCCTCCTCCTGCTCCGGGGGGCCCAAGATGGCGGGCCGCGGAGCGCAGAGGCCCACAGGGCCTCACGGGGCCTGGGCCCGAGCCCCAGCCCCGACCGCTCGGCGCTGAGGCCGGATCACCGGAGCGGCGGCGGCCGTGGCGGCGGCGGCGGCGGCGGCGGCGGCGGCGAGGACTTCTTCCTGTTGCTGCTTGACCCGGTGGGTGGCGATGTGGAAGCAGCGGGCGCGGAGCAGGCCAGAGGGCCGGGGTGGAGGGAGGAGGCCCGGGCAGGCCCGCGGCCCGAGCGGCGCGAGAGCGGGGCGACCCCGGCGGGCCGGCCCGAGCCGGGGCCCCGCCGCCTGCCGGCCGTCCCGGCTCCGTCTCCGCTGCCCGCGGCGGGCCCGAGCCCCGGCCCGGCGGCGGCGGCGGCCTTCGCGGGCACCATCACTCTGCACAAGCAGGACCTGCTGCTGCGCCTGGAGAACGGCGTCCTCACCCTGACCACGCCCCCGCTGCCCGCCTGGGAGCCGGGGGTCGCGCCTCTCCCGGGGCAGCCGCAGCCGGGGGCCCTAGGGGCCCCGCAGGCCGGCCTCCCGCCCGCCGCCGCGGCGCAGCTGGGCGACTGCCCGGAGCTGCCCCCGGACCTCCTGCTGGCGGAGCCGGCGGAACCCGCGCCCTGCCCAGCGCCTCCGGAGGAGGAGGCCGAGGCCCCGGCCGCCGCCCAGAGCCCCCGCGGGCCTCTGGTCGCGGGCCCGGGCGTGGTGCTGTACCTGTGCCCGGAGGCGCAGTGCGGACAGACCTTCGCCAAGAAGCACCAGCTGAAGGTGCACCTGCTGACGCACAGCAGCAGCCGGGGCCAGCGGCCCTTCAAGTGCCCCCTGAGCGGCTGCGGCTGGACCTTCACCACGTCCTACAAGCTCAAGAGACACCTGCAGTCGCACGACAAGCTGCGGCCGTTCGGCTGCCCGGTGGAGGGCTGCGGCAAGAGCTTCACCACCGTGTACAACCTCAAAGCGCACATGAAGGGGCACGAGCAGGAGAACTCCTTCAAGTGCGAGGTGTGCGAGGAGAGCTTCCCCACGCAGGCCAAGCTCAGCACCCACCAGCGCAGCCACTTCGAGCCCGAGAGGCCTTACCAGTGCGCCTTTTCTGGCTGCAAGAAGACGTTCATCACCGTGAGCGCCCTGTTTTCTCACAACCGCGCCCATTTCAGGGAACAGGAACTCTTTGCCTGCTCCTTCCCCGGCTGCAGCAAGCAGTACGACAAGGCCTGCAGGCTCAAGATCCACCTGCGGAGCCACACCGGAGAGAGACCTTTCCTCTGCGACTTCGACGGCTGTGGCTGGAACTTCACCAGCATGTCCAAGCTCTTGCGGCACAAGAGGAAGCACGAGGACGACCGCAGGTTCACCTGCCCCGTGGAGGGCTGTGGGAAGTCCTTCACCAGGGCCGAACACCTCAAGGGCCACAGCATCACCCACCTGGGCACGAAGCCTTTCGTGTGCCCCGTGGAGGGCTGCTGCGCCAGGTTCTCTGCCCGGAGCAGCCTCTACATCCACTCCAAGAAGCACTTGCAGGACGTGGGCGCGTGGAAGAGCCGTTGCCCGGTCTCCACCTGTAACAGACTCTTCACCTCCAAGCACAGCATGAAGACCCACATGGCCAAGAGGCACAACCTCAGCCAGGACCTCCTGGCCCAGCTAGAGGCCGCGAACTCTCTCACGCCCAGCAGTGAGCTCACCGGCCAGGGGCAGAGCGACCTCAGTGGCGCGGAGCTGGTGTCTCTGTTCTCTGAGGTGCCTGGCCACGGTTCTGCCGCGGTGCTGGACACAGCCTTGGTCAACTCTGGGATCCTGACCATCGATGTGGCCTCTGTGAACTCGACCCTCACAGGAAGCCTCCCTGCCGATAATCACCACGGCCATAGCCATTCCCTAGGGCAAGCGGTGGACCCCCGGGGCTTGAGGGGGACCCCCGCTGACCTCCCCCAGAGCCTGGATACCTCTCTCTTCTTCGGGACCTCTTTGGCCGGTTATCAGCAGGGCCCCTTAGACATGGATGACGTCTCCGCCGGGAACGCGGGGCTCTTTGGCTCTCTGGCTCTGAAAAACTCCAGCCTGGAGCCCCAGGCTTTGACGCCCAGCAATAAGTTAACCGTGGACACGGAAGCTCTGACTCCCTCCAGCACCCTTTGTGAAAACAGTGTCTCAGAGCTACTGACCCCAGCCAAAGCGGAGTGGAACATGCACCCCGAATCGGACTTCTTTGGGCACGAGGAGGAAACCCAGTTCGCCTTCTCCCATCCAGCAGGAAGCCATGGTTCTCAGAAAGAAACAGACCTCATCGCGGGGACTGGCACCCCGTTTTTGGTATGAGCCCTCCACTCTGCCCTCTGCCCGTTTCCTGCCAACTTGGGGCTCGTTTTCCTTACACTCAGATTGGAGGGTGCTCTGGACTGAACGCTTGCGTTGCCTGGGTGCAGTCCTTTCTGGCTGCTTTGCCAAGGAACGCATCTGTGGACTGCGATTTTAGAGATCTGAATGCTGGTCTGGAGTCTGGAACTGATGAGTTCTGTGAGCAAGTCTCTTAACCTAGCTGAGCCTTAATT